AGCGACTGCCTTCGGCTCAGGTCGTGATCCTGGAGTCCTGGGATCGAGTCCCGCATCGGGCTCCCCGCTCCGCGGGGAGTCTGCTTCTCCCTCTGACCCTCCTCCCTCTCATGCTCTCTGTCTCTCATTCTCTCTGTCTCAAATAAATAAATAAAATCTTTAAATAAATAAATAAATAAATAAATAAATAAATAAATAAATAAGCCTAAGACCAGCCTGGCTTCCTCCTCTTCCTCCTCCTGCTCACCTGGCCTGGACCCCCCTCCCCACTCCCAGCACTAAGCTCGGCAGATCCTCTGCCCCCACATTCACTGGTTCACTGCCTGGGTCCACCTCATCCCCCAGCCTGGATTATTTCCACAGCTTCTCTCTGCACCCCAGAGGAAGCGCACTAACACTCAGATCTGGCCATGCCCTGGCCCCGTCCCACAGCTCCTCCCTGCCCTCTACTAAAAGCCCTAGCTCCTCTGTGAGACACGGTGTCTCAGCAAGCTACCTAATGTCTCCATATCTTTGTTTTCTTAACTGAAAAAGAGGAGTAAAATGAGTGCCCCCTCCTCGGGGCACCTGACTGGCTCAGTCAGTACAGCATACAACTCTTGATCTTGGGTCATGAGTCTGAGTCCCAAGTGTGGCGTGGAGTTTACTTAAAAAAAGAAAAAAAAAGGGGGCACCTGGGTGGCTCAGTCGGTTAAGCGTCTGCCTTCGGCTCAGGTCATGATCCCAGGGTCCTGGGATGAAGCCCCACATCTTGCTCCCTGCTCAGTGGGGAGCCTGCTTCTCTCTCTCCCTCTGCCCCCCACTTGTGCTCACTTGCTCTCTCTGTGTCAAATGAATAAATAAAATCTTAAAAAAAAAAAAAGAGTACCCCCCCCCCCGAAACTTAGAGGATGCCATGATGTACAGGGCAGGGTCCACAACCCGACCACCAGTGGCACCTCTTACCAGTCTCCCCTGCCTCCTCCGTCACTCTGTTTTGGCCTGTTCGCCTGTGAACGTGTCAGGCACGGTCCTACCTCAGGCCTTTTGCACTGGCTGTCCCCTCCACCTGGATGGCTCTTCCCCAGAAACCAGCCCAGCTCCCTTCCTCACTGCCTTCAAGACTTTGCCCAAAAGTCTCCCACTTAATGATCCCCCCAACCACCCAATTTAAAATCCCAACCCAGTCCTTCCACTCCCCCTCACATGCCCGAAACATAACCCCTGTCTTTTATTTCTTCCACCCCATTTATCATCATTTGCTTTACTTATTGTTTATTGTCTTTTCCCCCCCTATCAGATTGTAAGTTTCTTTAGGACAGATTGCTTGGGTCTATTTTATTTACTGTCAAGATACCTGCCTCCACCCCAGAAAATACAGAGCACAGTGTAGGTGTTCAATAAACGAACAGCTAAATGACTAAATGAATGAATGTAAAGCACTTAGGACAGAATCGGGCAGGTGGGAAGTACTCAATATTATTATTATTATTATTATTATTATTATTATTATTAATTCTTCAAGGTCAGGCTCCCATGCCCTTCCTCCTTGACTTTTCCAAGCTTATAATCACACTGTCCTAGCCTCCACTGCACCCTGCCAATTTCTCAATTATGGTAGAGAGCACAGGGCTCTTTAATTCTATCTTTTTCCATTTAGACTGAATTGAATGAAATTGTCATTTCTTGTAGTCAAAAACAGTCAGATATTGGCCATTTCACATAGTTTAACCTAATATATTTCTCATGGCAACCTGCAGGACCCTAGGAGGCACCTCAAGGCCTAGTATACAATAGGTGCCCAATAAATGTTTGTTCACAGAAGTCAAGTCACCTATTCCTGGCCCTTCATAGTAGGTGTGATTGCAAAGCACCTCTAATCTGGTCTGAAGGAGGCAGGGCACAGCCTGTAGCCTTAAAATAACAAACAGAAGATCCTGCTGCACTCTTTTCTGGTCTTCCTGAAAAATCTCTGTCCCCTGATATCTGGCAAAGAAAAATAAAAACAAAACCACACTCCACTCTTATATAACAATCCAGGTTCTGGCCATTTGCAACTAACAAAAGTTTAATGCTGAATGAAGCCCCTTCCCAGGGAAAAAAGACTAGCTGCCTGTCTCTAAGAGGATTCATTTAATGATGGGGGAGGAAGGCTAGAACATTCTTTGGTTATCACCGTGTTCACTGTTCCAATATAGGCTTTAGTTACAGAGATCTGTTAGATCCCCAAGGCGGGTTGTCGGAGCTGAAAGAAATTCAGCAATCACTGAACCTATCCCGTTTCACAGATGGGGAAAGTGAGGTCAGAAAGGGAAAGCGGGGGGCGCCTGAGTGGGCTCAGAAGGTTGGGCGGCTGCCTTTGGCTCAGGTCATGATCCCGGGATCCTGGGATCGAGAAACTCGAGGGGCTCCCTGCTCAGTGGGGAGTCTGTGTCTCCCTCTCCCTCTGCCCCTACACCGCGCCCCCTGCCCCCTGCTCGTGCTCAGCTCTCTCTCTCAAATAAATAAAATCTTTAAAAAAAGAAAGAAAGGGAAAGGGACTGAACCAAGCTCACACAGCAGGGTACATGAAGAGTTCATCCTGGAATCTATGCCTACTGACGTTAATCTTGTGAGCTTTCCTCTGGACCACGTTGCTTTTATGTTGGCCAGATTCCGGCAACGGAAGCTTTAATGCTACTATTTTTTAAGCTGTACTTTTCAAATGAAATGTTTATTAAACCTCAGATAAAACACCAAGAGCTTCACTATGAGAAAACTTGTTATAAATAACAGCATTGCATTCATCTCTCTCTATAGTTACTTCCTCAGGGTAAAGTCCTCAAAGTAAGAAGTCTAGGGGCAAAGGGCAGTTAGAATCATTTCCCTGGACTCTTGTAACAGGCTGCCAGATTGCCCTGCAAAATTAAATGCTGCTGGAGAATTCCCACAGCCTTGCCAGCAGAGAGGTTTATCCTTTTGTATTTATTTTTGCTAATTTTATAGGAATAAATACAGACTGCTTTCACTTACTATGTGGTATGTGTTTTCCAACAAATAAGCAAATACTCTGGTCTTGGTTGCTGGTTTGCTGTGTCATCTTGGACAAATCATGTCCCCTCTGGGGCTAGGGGATGCATATCTAGACAATGAGGGGGTTGAAGAGATGATTTCTTCAGATCCCTTTCAGCTTGGACATGCCATAATTCCATAGTACATTTTTAAATTATTAGCATAGGATGACTTTGTAATAGCCAGAATCTGCCATGCCCCTAAATCAGGCCAAAATGCTGAGCAGGAAAACAGAGCCCAGATTATACATATGTAGAGACGACAAGAGACTTAGGTAGCACTTAAGCGTGTGTGTAAGTGTGTGTTGGAGCTCCGTTCGAGGGACAGCACATATACTTGGGCTGCTTTTACAAGGGGGTAACAGTACTCATTTGTGGTCTAGCTCCAGGTTCTGTGAGGCTCCACCATAACCAGCGGGCACGGTCATGGTCACACTGTTAGTCAGACGGAGAATCCCAGACTTGCAGTCAAAGGTAATTCACCCCCAGCCAAGTGCTCATCCAGCCTCTGTTCACATCCCTCTGATGACACAGAGCTCACCACCGGCCCAGGCAGTAAGAAAGCTCTTGGGTGAGGGCAGGTCATGAAGTGGACAAGAGTGACGAGAAGGCCCAGACGTGGTTCTCAGAAATACTTCCTCCATCAGGGCAGGCAACAGAAGAGGAGGAGGAAGAGGCACTGGAGGCAGGACGAAGGGCCTGGAGAGGGGCTCCTCTGGCTCCTCCCCTCCCCCCCAGACCTCTAAGGCGCTGCTAACCCAAAGGTGCTCCACAGGTGCGGGAAGTGCAGAGCCCACATTCCAGCCCTGATGCCGGTAGGTTCTGAACCAGCCCCGGGCCTACTGCTGCTTGCCCTGGGGCAGACACCTCAGCTCCAGCCTCTGCCCTTCGCTCCCTTTGGCTCTGGCAGGAGAAGTGCTGGGCCTGGGGCTGCTGGGCCTGGAAGTGAGCAGACTGAAGGGACCAGATGATTGCCCCACGGTGGAGGAAGAGGAGGAAGATGTCTGTGTGCCCAGAGCAGGACCAGCAGCTTCCAACTGTTTAGAGTTAATAAGATCCCCATCATAGGAGGTGTGTAATGGGGGCAGCAAGACCTTCCAGAGGGGATTTTACAGAGCCACTGGGCCAGATGCCAGAGGTCTTTTGTTTTGTTTTGTTTTGTTTTACCCTGAGAGCCTGGAGCCACAGTCCCTCAGACACGTGCTCTGTCCCAGACCCAACCCCACCCAGACACAGCTCTCTTGGCACTGTCCCTCCTTGGAGGTCTACACACACGAACCTGATCCAGCCCTATCATTCCTGGCGGGGCAGGGACGGGGAAGAGGACGTTCCATACCATTCTCTAAACCCTGGTGGGTTCATGGGTCTGGTCCAGGCCAGTCTGCAGCTGATGGTCCCATCACCCCCAACTCAGGGCTCCCCCGGCAAGGCTGACTTGGCTGGCCAGCTCCGACGGCCCCACCCTGCATGCCCAGGCGGGCTCAATGGGGACCTCGGGCTGTCGCCCCCTCCTGTTTCCCGTACCTGGAAGCTGAGGCCCTGCCCGTCACCCAGTCAGGAGGGGTAGGGTCCAGACGGGTCCCGCGGGGGCACCCAGGCCGCCAGGGGAGCCCTGTCGGGACCGGCTCGCCACACCCAGCGTGAGCGGCCCTCCCTGCGGGCAGGAGGGGTGGGCGGTGCAGACAGTGCCGATCCCAGCCCCGAGCCGTCGGGAGCCTGGACCTTAGCGCGGCCTCCCCCAACAGCGCGGAGCGGAAGGGGCTATCCCAATGGGGAAACTGAGGCCTGGGGAGGGGCGGTGCTTTGTAAGGTCACGCGGGGGTGCCGGAAGCCTCGTCCCCCAGCGCCCCGCCGGGTCCCCCGCGGCGCGCCGAGCCCAGCATCCCTCCCAGGGCGCTGCAGCCGGGAGGCGCAGCGCGCACACCTCGCGCGCACCGGGAAGGCACGGCCGACGGCGCCGGGCCGCCCTACCTTGATGACGACCGCGCAGGTGGCGGTGGCGGCCGCGGCGTCCGGCTCCGGCTCCGCGCTCCTCACCGCCAGCCGAGGGCCCGCGCGCAGTGCCGCCGCCTCCTCCCCGCCCCGCAGCCGGGAGGGCGGGGCCGAGGGGCGGGGCTGGGGCTGGGGCCGGGCACGAGCCCCGCCCGCGCGCCCCGGGTCCGAGGGCCACCCCTCCTTCCCCACCCTCCCGACCGCGCTCCTGGCCCCCGGGACCCGTCTCCGGGCGCGCGCACGCGCACAGAACAGGCGCGCACACCGGCGCGCACACGCCGCAGTGATTGGGGCGGGCTGCCCGGCGACCGAGCGGAGGCTGGGGACAGGCGGACCCGCCGCTCCCTCGCTGCGTGCCACGGGGCAAGGAACTCGACCTCCCGAGCCTCCGTTTCCCCCTTGGCGAAATGGAAACAGTAACTGTTTCTGCGTCCGAGAGCTGTTTGAGAATTGGAGGAGACGACTTAATTTACCGGCCCGGCAAAGTGCGCGCGCAGAGCCCACCACGGGGGTGGCGCCTGGTAAACCCGGCTGGTAGACAAATTCTTGAGGCTTCTAGTCGGCGGGGAGGAAAAGAGCAGGGAGGGCGGCTCAGGAACGGGAGGACTCCGTTCTCTCGGCAGCCAGGAGGGGGCGCTGCCGCCCGGTCTCGCCGGCTCTGGGGTCCTGAGCACACTAGGCAATGGGAGGAGATGCGGAGGCCCCTCCTTTTAATGAAACTACCACCTCACACTTAGTGAGCCAGGCACTGTTCTAGGCACCTTAAATGCATTAACTCACTTTACCGTCACACAAGCCTGTGAGGTTACACTATTACGTATTTTACAAATAAGAAAGCTGAGGCACACACAGTTTAAGCACCTCGCTTAAGATCACACAGCTAGTCATCAACCCCAAGCAGCCCGGCTCCCAAGCCCAAGCTCGGAGCCACTTCACCACACCACCCCTCTTGAGAAGAGCTCTTTGTTTTGCTCAGTTGTGTATCTCAGAGCACCTAGAACACTAGCCAGCTCAATTCTGAGTGAATAACAGAGCATACTATGTACTTCATATGTATTATTTCATTTAATTCTAGTGGCCCTTTTATTTAGCTATTATTACCCCCGTTTTACAGGTTAGAAGATTGAGACTTAGAGTGGCTAAGTAAGTGGGGGCTCTTGAGTATCTCCTTGGAAAGAATAGCCAGGGCCAAAGCCTGCAACTCATTCACTGTTCACTGGGCCACTCCCCACTCAGAGTCCGCTCCCCACTCCCCATCCCCACTTTGTGTGGCCTTCAAAGCCCCCTTCACCCCCCCACACACACTGCTCAGACTGAATTTGAGCTTCAGATATCAACATGAGTCGGATATTTGATGTTTCAGAAAAGCATATGGAGAAATCAGAATGTTGTGGGAGTTCCTTATACTTATGGCTCAATATTGCCTTTATTTTTAATTACTCCTGGGGGTGGACACCACCACCTTTCCAAGGCTAAGGCATCTGAATGCCCTAATTCACCTAGGGCTTGGGCCAGTATCTCGGGGGTGTCCCCCCAACCTCCACACACTCGCACCTCTGTGCCTTTGTGCACATGCTCTGCTCTGCCAGGAAGTCTCTTCCTACAGCATCTCCGTCTTTCTAAACCAAGGTGTCCTTCCTTCCAGGTTCATCACCTCCCCAGGAAGCCTTCCTACATGCCCCGAGGATGTGCCTTCTCAGCCTTGTGTCTGCATCTTTGCCCCCCTGCACCATGGTGGTGGGTGGCTGGGACTGTGTTGGGGAAAGACGGGTTTGGCAGGGACCTCTGGGGGCCATGGGTATATGGACTATTGGGAGGTCACTGGAGGCCTCTGCAGTAGACACAATCCAGGACCCTTTCTGGGGATGCTGCATATGTGCATGCCTGTACACCTGTGTGTGTGTGGGGGGGGGAGATTAGAACAAGGACCCTAATCTCTCCTCCTAATCCTGATCCTTTTGAGGAAGGTCCTTTTGAGATTAGAACAAGGACCCTAATCTCTCCTCCTAATACCGGTCCACCCCCCATAACCATCCTATGAATTGCACACATTCTGAGGCCAGAGCAGGGATGACCTGCCCGGGAGTCCCTAGTTAGAAAACCACAAAATCGGTGTGGCCTCAAAGTTGGGCCCATCTGCCAGCATCTTATATTGGGTCTTGGTTGATTGGGACAGGCCAGGAAACCACCATCCCCTTCCTTCCCTATGTGTCAACATGGCCAGCTTTGTTTAATCTGCCACGTGTGGGCCAATGCCTTGTGCAGGACCAGAATGTGTGCGAGAAAGGGTGGCAAAGTCTTCATCTACCTGCCCAACATGGAGCTTTCTGGGCAATATGGCCGTGCGCTGGGAGACTGAACTAAGAATGAGGGAACGGCAGTGCCTGGGGGGTGAGGTTCGGAGCGTGGGGGACGTTAGCCAAGTACAGGCATTCTGTAGAAGTCAGTGTGCACCTCCCACTTTGGGGTGGAGATGGGGGAGTCTTCCCTCCAGGTCCTTCCTCCTCCTTTGAGGAGTCCCTTTATTCTTGGGGATATTACCCCAGGGAGGTTCCCTGGGCAACTCCTGTCCCCTCCCCTATCCAGTGCAGCAGGGATGGCAGCTTGCTGGGGGCCCAGTGTCTGAGAAAGAGAGACGCTTTGAGCTGAGAGGTCCCATCCCCTGGGGTAGGAGGGTGGGGCTGTGAGGGATCAGATCCTCCAGCCCTAGAAGGCAGCAGCCCCTAGGGATGGGGGGCAACAGCTGTGGTGCAGGGCCAGGAATCTGACACCAGGGGTGGGCTCCCAACGCCTTTGGGGAAGAAGGGGGAGGGAGGGAAGGCAGCAGCAGCTACAGACCTTCTTGAGGTGTGACACCCCCACTTCCATCAGTCCCTGTTACAGCCTCCCTGTCAGGTGGATGGTTCTTCTATTTTCCTTTGCCGGGAGCTCTCCCATGGGGCCCTACATCACTCAGGAAGCTATAGGCCAGGCTTGTTCTTTCCCCTGGATCCTTTGGTGTTTTAGGCTCCCGAGAAGTTGAGGTGAGCTGGAATGAACCCTCCCTGGTCTTATCGTTAGCATCTCTAAGGCTTAAGCATGGCTTAACCACTCAGCGGCTGTATGGCTTTGGGCAAGTTAGTTAACCTCTCTGAGGCTTCATCTTCTTGTTTCTAAATTGAGCGCGCCATGGAGTGAGCAGTGCTCTAGGACAGGCCATTCTCATTCCTGGCTCCAGCTCCAGCATTTCATTTCAGGGCTGGAGGAAGCCAGACCAGGGTCAGTCCTGTGGTCTCCAGCCCTCCTGGTGTATCAGAATGCCCATGCCCCACAACAGGCTCTGTGTGGCACACAGCACCGATATTCTTTAAAAGCTGCTTAGGTGATTCTGTGGTGCAGCCAGGTACAAAGCAGAGGTTACATTGCTGGGTCAACGGCAAAGCACCACCCCTTTCCCCTGGTCCAGGAGGGGCAAGGTGGAGGCACCGAGCTGTGGGCAGAGCTTCTTCTCAGCCTGGGGGTGGGGAGGGGAGATGAGGAAGAGGGAAGAGGGAGAAAGGAAGAAGGGTGAGGAGAACGGGCAGGAGGAGGAGGGGAAGGATGAGGGAAGGAGGAGAGGGAGGAAAGAGAGGAAAGAAGCAGGACAAGGAGAGGAAAGAAGCAGGACGAGGAGAGGAAGCAGGGGAGAGATAGGAAGGGAAGAAGGGAGAGGGGGGTGTCATGTATCTTGACAGCCTCTGTCTGATCTGGGATTGTTTATTTTTTGCTGAGGAGGGAATTTGAATTTCAAGGCTGGAGCTGAAGGTCCAGCTCCGTCATCTGTCCTGGAGCCTTGGGCCTTTTCGAAGCCCTCTGGGTGACTTTTCTCCATAAAAAGGCCATTCCTGGCCAGTGGTGGTGCTTCACTTTGTGCCAGGCACCAGCGTCCTGTCCTTTAGCCCTCCTGGGAGCTCCAGGAGGCTGGCCCCCTTGTCTCCTCAATGATGCCCTTAGGGGTGCAGCACCCAGCCTGTTGGAGGTGCAGCTAGGACCCCCGCAGGCCACCATCACGCCTCACAGATGCCATTTAGTGGTGAAAGGATCTCAGCAGATGTAAGTTTGGCAAAAATGAGGAAGGTCGTCAAGACCCTATGTGGGGTGCTCACGGCAGACCCGGGGCCCTGGGGCCAGCCAGCAGCCCCTGTCACGTGGGAAGAAAGAACTCTGCATGTCTCTTCCCCAGAGCTGTGTAGGGGGCACAGTGTCGGGGAACTGGGTGCCTGGGGTGCCAACCCCTCAGAGTTCACACTTGTGGGCAAGCAGGCCAGTCCCCAGTGACAGGTGTGGCTTCCTTCCCAGCCCTGGACAGGAACCTCAGATCAGAGCGGGAAGTCTCCGTGCCTGAATCCCGCACCCCTAGTCCTGCCTACCAAAGACTACCCAGCGTGAGCCTATACCGACAGTCAAGGGCTCGCTGAGAAATGAGCGACCAAAATCACTTACGCAGCCTTGACCCCCTGCGTTTGGGGGAGCGGGGGCAGGCGGCTCTGACTGCTGAGGAAGGGCCCAGAAGAGCCCAGAAGAACTGAAACTGAGCTCCTGCACACAGTGGGTGCCAGAAGAGCTGGCCCTGACTTGGCGACAGGCTGGAGCTGTGTCCCTCTCACCACCTTTTCCTCACCCTCCAGCTGCCCATTTTTCAGAGAGGAGGGGACTCTTCTTGCCTGGGCCCATGAGGCTGGCAGAGCGAGATCAGGCGTCGGGCGGCTGACCCAGGGCTCTCTTGGTGTGGGCAGGGCTTTTCCTTGGAACCCCTTCCCCCAAACGGGCTGTGAGTGGAAAGGCGGGCATAGGTGCAAGGCTCAGGAAACAGGCCTCAGTAGATGGGAGCTGGGCCTGGGACGGAAGCAGAACCAGCGCTGGAGAGGTGCTGTGGCCCAGGAAGACACACCCCAAATGCACAGGGCCCTCGCTCCTCAGGAAACCAGGAGGGCGGCAGGCCCTGCAGAGACGCCCACAGAAGCAGAACCCAGGGATGTCCCAGGCTGGGAAGGCCCCAGTGATGGGACACCCTGGAGCCCTGGGCCCACCCAGGAGGAGTTGGTTACTGGGAATCATTCAAGTTCCAAAGCCTGTCAACTATTTCCAATATTTACATTGTTTTATACAGATAAAACTTAAAGAATGTTCAGGTTACCCAGTAAGCCAGCATTCTTGCTTGTCTGTGTGCTAAAGTGCTCTGTGGGAGAAGTGAGAAAGGGGTGGCATCCCTGGGTATGTGCTTATGAGTCCCAAACAAGGGCTTCACAGCAGACAATGTTCTGATGGGGAGACTGAGGCCCAGAGAGGGGAAGGGACTTGCCCAGCGACACGCGGTGCTGTGGCTCACTGGCTGGACCACTGTTCCACGGCCGCCATCCCGGGGGCCTGACAGCCAAAGGGGAGAAAGGGCTTTGGGGAGGGCAGGTGGCCAAGTCAGGCATCCCCCTCCCCCTCGTCCTCACTGGTGCAACCCTCTGGCACCGCTGGGCCTTGGGAGTTCCGAGTCTCCAAGTACTCAGCCTTCAGCTGCTCTAGCTCACGCAGCTCAGCCTGCAGCCGCTCCCGGTGGGCCGTCCGCAGCTGCCGCAGCTGCTTCATAGGGAAGGGGTTCATGTCGTTGAAGGCGATGTTCATCAGCTTCCTGGGGGGAGAGCACAGTTAGCCCAAAGCCAGGGCCCCACTGGGTCTACATTCACTGGGCCTTCCGGGGCACCCTGCCATTCATTCTGTCCATGTGGCTGAGGCCCTGGCCCCTGCCCATGGGCAGCTCACCTTCCAGGAAGGAAACAGTGAATAAGAAGACAACTTCCACCCAAAGTGATGTATACTGAGGCAGGAAGAAGCTTAGGGCTATGGGAGCTCTAACTCCGTAAGGAAAGGTTTATCATGGAAGGCTTCTTGGAAGAGGTGACATGTGAGCGGAGTTTTGAAGAATGAGTAGGGTTGGCCAGGCAAAGATGGCAGTGGTGGAGGTGACAGGGAGGCATTCTAAGTAGAAGAAACTGCAAGGCCAAAATCTCAGAGGTTGGTGTTGAGCTAGGAACTCAAATAATTATTTGGCAGGACGACAGGGCATGGGTGTTAGGGGCAGGAAAAGGTGGGAAAGAAACAAAATTGCATAGGGGCCTTGAATACCACGGTAAGGGGCAGATAGACCACTGGGGCAGTGGAATGTCCCTAAAGATTTCTAAGCTGTAATGGAGGATCAGCATCACTAACAAATCTCCACTCAGCAAACACCTGCCTATCCTCTGCTATGTGTCCTGGGGCATGTGTGGGTGGTGGGAGTGCTGGCCAGGCAGGGTAGGGGCAGAAGTGGGTTCTCACTGGCTGTTGCAAATGGTCTTGGTGAAGAAGCGCAGGTACTGGTAGATCTCCAGGCCATCCTGCAGTCTCAGGATCGCCTCCTCGTTGTACTTGAAAATGGCCAAGGCATAGCGGAATACCACCTGGGGGGCAAAGTGGGGGCTCAGGTGGGGCACGGGGGGCCAGGGCAGGTAATCCCCAGGGGGAGGAAAACCCCCACAGGCACCCAACTGCTGTTCCATCTCTATCCCACCCACTCCTCCTGCTTTGGTGATCTTGAAATAAATCCCAGACAACACGTCAGGAAATCTGTGAATCCTTCGGCAGGTTTGGTGTTGGACTCCCTGATGCCCCCAGGACAGGCTGCAGAGGTTGACAACTTGAGTGTGGGGAGGCCGAGGGGCAGAGGCAGACAGGGAAACCCCAGGGGGAGGGAGCACAGTGTGAAATCTGGGCATGGGGACTGAGTCCTGGCTCTGTCCTCACTTGTCCCGGGGCCCTGGGTGAGGTGCTACCATGTTGGACCTAATGGGGGTAATACTGTTTACATGAGGCATCAGTAGGAATCAAATGGAATAACAGATCCGAAGGTGCTCTGCAAACTGTGGTACGTTATCAACCACCGTGGGGAAACTGGGGTGGAGGTCACAGGGAGGTCTGCCCAGGGTCTCCTAGAAAGGCAAGGGGCAAAGGGGGACCACACACCCATGTGCCAGCCTCCCAATATGGGGCTCAGTCCAAACAGGAAGAAGAGAAGCAGGGGCCCAGGTGACTGGATGGGCAGCGGAGGGAATAGGGATGGGCTTCCTGGATCACAGTCATGCCTCTTCCCTAGGGAAAGGAAATCCCCCAAACTTTAAGACACATCTTCAGAGGCAGAACCACCCCTTCTCCTCACATTGCAAAGCACTTTAGTTTACAAAGCCATGCTCCCATGAGAGGTCCTCAAAGCCCTGACAGGGGAGCACTGTCTTCCCATTCTCCAGGGGCAGAAGCGAGACCCAGAGGGCTGCAGGGCCTTGCTCAGGACTGTCCTGCTCACCCCTGATGGTGCCCTACCTTGGTACCCTCATAGAGGAAGGCGTCCCAGACCCGGAGAAGGATGTTGCTGATGAGACTGTCTGCAAAGACCACGAGGAACCAGTTGAAGGTGATGAAGGAGAGATCCACACGGTAGTGCCCCAGGTGAGCCATCAACCTGGGCAGCTTCTCCAAGAGGAGGTCCTGGAGCACCCGCTGGTCCACCTGGGAGCCAGGGAGAGAGGGCTTGTTAGCCGCCACCCTAGAGAAGGGGCTGCCTCCCTCCCTGCCTGCCCTTCCCACCCAGCCCGTCCACACACAGTCCCGGAGTCAACCCCCAACCCCCCCCACCCCTGGCCCCGGGAAGCACGGAGTGCCTGGAGGAGCCAAAGCCTCCCATGGCCAGGAGACAGCACAGACCAGCAGTCTTCTGGGCTGGAGCACTGGGCTCTGGTGTGGAGGCCTCTGTAGGCTAAGTTCTTAGCCAGTGGTATTTTGGCCCATTTGTCCTCCTGAACCCGAAGCCAAGCAGGAGTTCAACTTGTATCCACCGACACCATGGCCACTTCTCTATATCCACTTTGGACCTGACATAAAAGATGCTCAGTGCATCCAGCTCAAGACTGAGGGTAACTCATTGAACCTAAGATGTCACCGAACCTATTGAAGGAGTCACAGATTTACTGACGTGATGTCTGGGATTTATTTCAAGATCACCAAAGCAGGAGGAGTGGGTGGGATAGAAATGGAACAGCAGTTGGGTGCCTGTGTTGATAATTCAAACTGGGTGATAGATACATGGAGGTTCAAATACTATTTTCTCTATTTTTTGTACATTCAAAATTTTCTATATTAAAAATGAGGAAAAAACCCTCCAACAACCCCACAACAATACACTGGTTTTACAACACACCTCAGTTTCGGAGATGTTAAAGCATGACAATAAAATATGGGACATTTCCCAGCCTGCCTTGCAGTGAGGGGGTGCCATGTGACACAGTTCTGACCAATAAGGTGTAAGCAGCACCTGCTGGGCAGGAAAGCTGTGGGAGGCGGAGCCAGCCCCTGCCTTGCACCCTCTGCTTCTTCCAGCCTCGACCACGGCCACAGTGCCGGAGGTGGTATGGCTGTCCTGTGACCATGAGCAGGGGGCTGACAGCAATATGTGAGGGATGGCAGAGCAGAGAGCTTAAGGGGACTTCAGCTTTGTCATTCTCTGGGAAAAATGAGCCGCCCCTTGAGCCACTGTGAGGTTGGGCCGCCCTTCCTGACTCATCACCTATTCCCTGACGACTCCTCAGTCTTGATCTCCGGCCCTGACCTCCCTCCTTCACATGGGACACCCACTTGTCTGCTGACCTCCCCGCCCAGGTGGGTGTCCCACAGGAGGCATCAGTGTTGGGCAATCTCTCTCGTGTTGGGCATGATAGGAAAGGAGAGGAACAGAGTGGGTGGGCAGGAAATGACTTGATAGGTTTATGGTGGGAAGTGAGAAAGTCCCCTCCAGATGGCCTCTCTGCATAAAGCAGACAGTGCGGATGCACCAGGAGCCGGATGAGGGGTGAAGCAAGAGAGGAGATGGGAGGTCAGAAATGGTTTTGCGTGTACATCTGTCATCAAGCCCAAGCAGAAGTACTCCCATCCCAAAGCAGACAAACCAGAGGTTCAGAGAGGGGATGCCGCAAGGCCAGGCAGCTGGCTGGGGGAGAGGTGGGCTCTGGACTAGCTGCGCCTGACTCTAGGGCTGGCCGGGGCTCAGAGGGAGAGGGGGGCGAGGCGGTGAGGGTGCAGGCAGCTGTGCTTCTCCGGAGGCCGTGACCAGCTTGTGTGAAGACTCGTCCCCACCTCCCACCCTGAGTCCCACTTCCACCCACCTGACCTCTGTTTTGAAATTCTTTACTGGCAAAAAGCAAGAGATTCTAGATTTTCTTCTCCTTCCCTCCCCAAGAAACCATTTCTGAAAAGAACAAAACCAAAACCAACCAAACAAACAAACAACTCCCCCCAACCATTTCTCATGACATAGTGTCACCACTGGCATAACAGCAATCTACCCCAGGGGCAGGGCCCCCACAACTCTAAAGGCCATCAGCTCACCAGAACTTCCCAGGAGTCCCAGGGAGAGGTTACTGGCCCCTTGTACAGAGGGAGAAATGGAGGCCTGAGAGCGTCCTGATTCTTCTGAGATTCACTGGCTTGAAGGAACCACTCAAGGGGCACCACCCTGCATGGCCCCTAAGTCCCGTCCGTCCTTGCCCTGCTCACCTGGGATGATGTCAGTGTCTTGCTGTAGTAATCAGCCGGCATGATGGTCTCCACAATGGCCACCAGACACCAGAAGGCGCTCTCCTCCTCCTCCAGGACCAGCAGAGCGATGGCCGCCAGTCTGGAATGGGAGGAAAGGAGGCCTGGGGTGAGGTGTAGAAGCTGCAGCCAGGCAAAGGGTGGTAGAGATAGATCCCTGGCTCCCAACCCTACTCCCTAAAACCAGGCTAGTGTTCTGGCACCTGGGGTGAGATGAACATGCTTTGGGGGAGGACTACAGAGGAGATTTCTGAGCAATGGGGAGAACTGAGTCTCTAGGGAAGGGCTCTGGGGGTCCGTTGCTCAGGTATGAATTCTGGATCTGCTGCTTCCTGGCTGGATGATCCTGGGCAAGTTCCTAAACTTCTCTGTGGCTCAACCTCCTCATAATAATCACAGGACTCTTATGAGGATGAATGAAGTTAACACAAGATAAATGCTGAGCACAATACCTGACATGTAGTGAGTGTTTAATGAATGTTAGCTATCCTCATCTTAATATCCACAGGCTTTGAGACCTTGACAAGTGTGCTAACCTCTCTGAGCCTTACTTTCATCATCTGTGAAGTGGGATTAACAATCTCCACCTCCCAGGGCTGTGTGGCATTTTGAGCGAGAAGGCAGACCTACAGCGCCTTGCTAACTATCTGGCATACAGCAGGTGCTCACTACACAGAATTCTTTCTCCCCTTTGCTTCCTGAACTCCCTCCAAAGTTATCGCAGGGCTCTAATGAGATCATGGTAAGAAAGGAAAAAACCCACAGTGTTGAGTAGGGATGTCGGCCTAGAAGAAGTATTGCTTTCTCTACTTCTCCTATCTTTCCTGGCAGGTCTCACCCACTGTCAATCCAGGAATACATTTCCCAAAATGCAGTGGTCTCTAAAGATGCTAGGTGAACACAAGGTCCCAAATACAAAAATGTTTGGGAAATGCTACATCCTCTAGCCCCCTTTTATTATTTTTTTTAAAGATTTTATTTATTTACTTGACGGAGAGAGACACAGCAAGAGAGGGAACACAAGCAGGGGGAGTGGGAGAGAGAGAAGCAGGCTTCCCGCGGAGCAGGGAGCCCGATGTGGGGCTCGATCCCGGGACCCTGGGACCATGACCTGAGCCGAAGGCAGACGCCTAACGACTGAGCCACCCAGGCACCCCTCTAGCCCCCTTTTAGAGGCTGATGATACACAACATCTTACTAAAAGCCTCTGAGAAATTCTGCAGTGACAAAACAGTGACTGCAGAATTTACTTACTAAAAGCCCGTGCAGAAATTCTGCAGTGACTCTAACCCAAGGCTGTCCAGTGGAGTTATGGAGCCCCTTTTGTACAGTGCACCCACTGAACACCCTTAGGGAGATGCCACCTTATAGTATTGTGAAGCCTCACACTCTTGATGGGCTTAAAGAACACATTTCATTGTCCAGCTATTTATCCTTCTCTGGGCTCTTACTAGACTGGATTCATGATCTCCAGCCTCTTCTGAGGTTCACACTGTTTAAAGAAGAAAAAAGAAACCCCTTTTCTCTCCCCAGGATTGGGAAGGAATTTCTTTCCACTCTAAAATATTTGTACAAACTCTCCTGGGTCTGAGCTGAGTGGATGAAAGGAAGAGTCACAGGTCTCTTGGGAAATAGGAAGCTCTCCCCTCTCAAAGCTGGGGAAGGGGGTCTTCTGAGGTCATTTAGTTCAGGGATAGCAAATGTGTGAAACACTGGCCACCACTCTCTTTTGCCTATGCCAGGGCAGACATAACTAGTGAATCATGACAACATTCCCTTTGTCTATGTCCAGGGCAGACATAACATAATTAATCATTGTGCTCTTTCCCACTGACTCTGGAGGCTGCCTCAGAAACTCACAAGACAAGGCTCCAGGCAGGTGCTTCCTACTTGTCAACCCTGGTCTAGATAAACTTATTGCAGATAGGAAGACCGAGTCCTGGAAAGCAGAAGTCACTTGCTCAGGGTCACACGTTCAGTTGGTGGCAGAGTGGAGACAGAACCCGGGGCTCCCAAAGTCCAGCCTGGTGTTCTCTCGACCCTACCCTATCCCGCTGGAGCCTCAGGACGTGCTCGGTCCAGGAGCTGGCTGCCGGCACCAGCGTAGATTTTTGCACACATTGCAAGGTCGGTAGTGAGAGTTTGCTGGTACCAACTAGGGCTTACCAACTGCCCCGGGCTACAGCCAGCCTCCAACCTAAGGCATTCAGGCTCAAGTGGGTCTACAAAGGAGGTAGCGTGGTGATATGGGAAAGAAACAGCTACTCCTAATGCACTCCCCTTATATTTTAAAGAGAATTCGCTTTAAAGTTTTTGCCCTAAATTAGCACTGTATCATTACTATGATATCTGTCACCCTTTAAACAGGCTGATTTGTTGCACGGAAGCAGGGTCTGTCTTGACACCATGCACGCAGTTCTACCGGCTGCCACTAGATGGCGGCGCTCAGACAAGTGAAAGGGGCCCGCAGGGTGGGGTTGAAGGGCCCCACTCTCCACATGTGAAGGGGCTCTTCCCATTATAAGTAACTTTCGATTTTAAGCAATAATATGAATATTTGCCTAAACATCAATTATCAGTAAAAAAAAAAGAAAGAAAGAAAGAAAAAAGCATTCAGAGAAAGAGTTAAAGAAATACTCCTGGTCACGTCATCCCCCCTCTCTCCGTCTGTTTTTCCTACATATCCCTCCACAGCCTTTGTGCTGCCTTTTTCCACACAGGGAGAAGCTTCTTTCCTTCTGGGAGGTTTATCTCAAGACCCTTCCTGCTACAGGATTTCCCCTTGTCCCCCCCCTTATATTAGCTGTGCTGTAGTTTAACTCTGAATTTCCAGTAACTGAACACGTATATATGCTCAGTTTCACCCAATTTAGGCTGGAAGTCAGTATCAAAAATCTCTACCCTTAGGAATCATTCAAATTTGAGTAGGGACTCCCTGAATGCTTATTCTGTGTTAAATAAATGTCACACACCACCTACTGGGGGGAGAGAGCAGAATGTCTTATGTAAATTTTGCTTGAGTATATGTGCATTTAAATTTAAGTGAGTCAAAACTTGCTTTGGGGACTATCTGAAATTATGTAACCTCTATCGAGATAGCTGGGGGGCATCCATGAGAGTCCTGAGGTAGTGGAGGGGGTAGCCCTAGCAGGTCACCCCATCTCACCTCCACCCCCAGTCCCCTCCGTCCTGCTATTAGACCAGAAGCAGAAATGAATCCAGGCTGGGCCAGTCACATTCCTTCCTTTGGGAATTTCTGCCTGGGACATGAGGGTGTCAACAAGTGGGAAGATTTGCTGAAAAGGTTCCAGACTCAGGGACTGAGGTCTCCATTCTGACAGCCTCGAGGGCCCTAAATGTCCAAGGAATGACGACGGACAGAGGCTAGTCTGCTGAGAAAAGGAAGCAGACATGTAGAACGAGAGAGGCCAGGGATGGTGCGGCCCCACAGGGGGCTGCAGAGCAGGACCGTGGTGCTGCCCAGCCTCAGGGACTTGACCCCATGGCACCCCTGGGGTTGTGTAGTGCTGTGGCCCTGCTGGAGAGAGGAGATGCCTTGGTTTCTAATGACCATCTGGTCTTGTCCTCTATTTTCGTTTCCTGGCCTTTATGAACCTCTATTGTGGCATTTACCAATTCTCGTTTTCTTGGGCTCCCTTGAATGGGTTTTGTTTAAGGTAAATGATCCTTGACCCAGGCAGTTCTGCAATATGTGAGCTGAGGTGTGCACTACAAAATTCCAGGGGGCCATTCACCAGGGTCTCTGTATGAGTGGTACTGAGCACAAGTCAAAAGAGAGAACATAGCATGAGGAGGTCCCCCCCATCTTGAACCTGTCCTGTCCCCATCTTGAACATGTCCATGTTGTCCCCATCTGTATGGTGGGAATCAAGCCTCCTGGACTCACCTCTCTAGGTTCTCGGGAGGCTCTAAAGAACCTTGTGCCCTCACTAGGGCTCTGATGCTTACCTGTTCAGGCCCTGGCAGTAGCCAATGGTGGGATTCTGCCAGGAAAAGGCCAGCAGCACCCGGCGTAGCTTGTCGGGGAAGCTGGAGGTGGGACAGGTGAAGTGCTTGTTGTTGGGGAAGGTACGGTTCAGGTCCAGCTCAATCTGGCGGGCGGCAGGATGCTCGCGGACCCGGCCCCGGTTCAGCAGCTCCTGGTAGTGGCCGGGGCTCTGCAGATGCCGGACGCGGAGGTGGATCAGCCACCTCCAGACACGCGGCCGGTGCTCTCGGGGCACACCTGCCCGCAGCAGCTGCTTGAGCTCGACCGAGGGTACAAGATCACCCAGGGCAGCCCAGCGCTCCCGCAGCGGCCGCTCCACGGCCTCGTGGGCCAGCAGGTGGTGGGAGTGCACCTCTAGAGCCTGGATCTTGGCCAGCAGCTTCAGGTCTTCCATCTCGAAGTTGGGCACCGTCAGGAAGCCATACTCATCATACTCACTGCCAGCAAAAGCCTATGTTAGCAGCATGTCGCAGAGCCCTTCCCTGGATAAGGGGCAGGGCAGGGAGGGGGAGGGGGGACCCCAGGCAAGGTTCCTGCCTGGGTTTCACTGTGGGTGACATGCAGCTTTGGGCAGGTCACGTCAGTTCTCTGAACCGCAGTTTGCTCTTCACAATGGGTAGAAGAATTCCTGCTCTGCCTCATGAAGACCCATTGACCTCCTCTGTTGTAAAATGCTGGGGGCCTAGACAGTGCCTGGTGCCTCGTAAGTGCATAGTAAGTGTGTTCAGTGCAAATATAAAGGACCCTCTTATTACTCCATGAAGCCTTAGGCTCAAGCAGTCGGCACTGCCAATATAGAATCCCACCTGGGCAGAGAGTAAGCCCAAGGCTGGATGGGGAGCAGGCAGCATCAATGACAAGCAAGATGGGAGAACCAGGGGTCCAGTCCAGATGGCCTTTTACTGATTCCAGTTATTTGCCCTTACTGTGTGCTCTGCATGTGCTCTCTCATTTGGTCCTACTGATCCTGCAAAGCAGGGATCTTAGCCCACATCTGACGGAGGCTAATACGTGGCCCAGAAAGGTAAAGTGACTTGTCCAAGGTCACATAGTGAGAGAGCCCAGTCTGGCTCCAAAGCCTGGGCTCCTTCCCCTTGGCCACCCAGCCTCCAGGGGCCTTTGGACCCAAGCCACAGCCCCTTCTGTTATATTTAACTGCCCATGTTCACTGTGCTCAGCAAGGACTTGGTTCAGGGAAGGCAGCTGGCTTTCTCCCCTCCTCCCCCCTCTGACAAACACCTTGGGGAGGCAGCCTGGGGAAGTGAAAAAAATGGAGCTCTGGAGGCAGACCCAGGTCAGCTGCATGAATACGCTGTGTGGCCTTGGGCAAGGGGCGGCCTCCTCTGAGCCTGCATCACCTCAACTGTAATATGGGGTTCATCCCAAGCACATGCTCGTTTGTCTGAAGATACGAGAAAGTAAGGGACGTGCAGTGCTTGTACGCGGTCAGCAGGAGCCAGCACCAGGGCGGCTGGGGACCTTCAGGTCGTGCAGACCAAGACCCACCCTCACTGGCTGTTGGGCTCACCTGATGGGGCTCAGCTCCACGCCATCGGCTGAGGCCTCCCCGGCTTCCCACTGCAGCGCCTCCTGGATGAGCTGCCTCAGCAGCTCTGAGCACTCAGTGGCCTCACCCCCCGAGGCCTCCTGTAGCCTCCGCAGCCCGGCCAGGTACTTGCTCTCCACCTGGCAGTTCTTGGCTTGGAGGTAGGCACACTGTGGAGGGAGGGGTGGGGCTGTCAGGCCACCTGCTTGGGTTTGCCGCCCCCCCCCCCCCAGAGGCCTGAACAGCTATAGGCAGCAAAGTCCTTCTCCAGCCTCATCTCCCATCCCCTTCCCACCCCCAGCCCGTCATCTAAGGGAAAGGAGATGGGCCCTGAACCCAAGGGTTTATAGCAAGGTAAAAGAGGCTCCAGGCAAGAGAGCCAGGCAAGAAAGCCAGGCCCAGGGCTGCAGCCGGATTCAGAAGAAAGAGGGGAGAGGTGGGCACGGGCAGTGCACGTTCTTGCTGGGGACTGCAAGTCCCATCCTGCTTCAGCCACTGCTGGCTGGGGGACCTACGGCAAGTTACTTAGCCTCTCTGTACCTTAGCTTCTTCATCTGAATAATGGAAATAATAGAGAGTCTGCCCCAGGATTCTGGTGGGGATTAGATGAGCAGATGTGTGTAAAGGCCCTCCCAGGGCACCTGGCCTAGAGCAGTTCTCTGTCGGTGGTAACACTGAGCAGTGCCCAGGAGATGGCCACATAACTTTGGCCACTGCCCCTGTGCCTCTGCCTCTGCAATATCGGCTCTTTCCATTCCTTTGACACACCGCCTCTCTCCCACCGGTGTCCTTCCTGTGTACTCCCTGCCCCTGTCTTGAACTTCTGTATTTCTCTTTCCATAAGCCGGGTGTGCTGAGCAAGTCTGGTAATTTTCCTGGGCCCACTCTCCTTCTGTGGAAGCTGGACAGAAAGAATCAGCCTCAGCGAATCGCCGTGCCCTCTGGGCCAGGCTGGCTCCTGTCTCATCCTGGGGTGGAAGAGTGCAAGCCGCCTGGCTAAGGCTGCCATTATGCTGCACTCTTCAAACATTGGCTGAGCACCAACTCCAGGCCATCGGGTGAGCCTGCTCTCCTCCCCCTCCAGCTGGCTCCCACATCTACGTCCCTCTGCCACCTTCCCAAGTCCCCTCCCAGTACTCTCAGGCATTTCTGCTACAGACTCCCAAGTCTCTGTGCTCCCCGGTCCACCTCCACAAGCCCACCGAGCCCCCAGCTTTCTCAAAACATAAGTCTGATTGAGGGCCTCGCCACTCAAAACCCTTCTACAACTCCCAGTTTCCTCAGAGAATGTCCCAAGGTTCCTCCCCTCCAGCCTCACATCTCCCTCCCCACCTTCCCCCACCTCTTGGTCCACAGGTCTTGACCATGCTATCTCTTTTCTTGGAAGGCCTTTCTCTACTCTGTTTGCCTGGATAACACTAACTCACTTTTACAACTCAGCTGAAGAAGGTACCCCCACTAGGAAGCCCTCCCTGACTTTCTTCCTCTCTTTGGGCCCCAAAGAATCCTGTGTGCCCAACTGCAGCTTGATTGTGTTTGAATCCCTCACTAGTCTGCATGCACCCTCCTTGAAAAGCCTGAGAAGACCTCTTGTTAGTTCTTCTTTAAATGTTCAGTTGAATTCACCAGTAAAGGCTTCAGGTCCAGGGCTTTTCTTTGAGAGATTTCTGATTGCTAATTCAGTCTCCTTACTAGTTATAGGTTTATTCAGATTTTTATTTCTTCATGATTTAGTCTTGGCAGGCTTTGTGTTTCTAGGGATTTATCCATTTCATCTGGTGATCCAATTTGTTGGTATACAATTGCTCATAGTACTCTTTTTAAAAAAAAAAAATTTATTTATTTATTTGACAGAGAGAGAGAGAGAGCACAGGTAGGCAGAGCAGCAGGCAGAGGTAGAGGGAGAAGCAGGCTCTCACTAAGCAGGGAGCCTGACACGGGGCTCGATCCCAAGACTCTGGGATCATGACCTGAGCTGAAGGCAGAAGGCAGAGCTGAAGGCAGACTGACTGAGCCACCCAGGTGCCCCTGTTCATAGTACTCTTATAATCCTTTTTATTCTGCAGAATCAGTAGTAATGTGCCCCTTTCATTTCTGATTTTGAGTCCTCTCTCTTTTTTTCCTTAGTCCACCTAGCTCAAGGTTTGTCAGTTTTGATCATCTTTTTAAAAAATCAACTTTGGTTTCATTGATTTTCTATTATTTTTCTGTTATCTATTTCATTGATTTCTGCTCTGATCTTTATTGTTTCCTTCCATCAGCTAGCTTTGGGTTTAGTTCTTCTTTTTCTAGTTCTTCAAGTTCATCTTACTCCAGGTTTGTTGAGCTTCTTGGTTGTTTTTATTTATGTCTTCATCAAATTTGGGACGTTTTCGGCCTTTATTTCTTCTCATATTCTCTCTGCCCCTTTCTCTCTCTCTTCTCTTTCTGGGACAACCATACTATAATGGGTATGTTGGTCTGCTTAGTGGGGTCTCACAAATCACTTAGGCTCTGTTCACTTTTCTTCAAGCTTTTTTCTTTCTGTTTCTCAGACTGAATAATTTCCACTGTCCTATCTTCAAGTCCACTGATTCCTTCTGCCTGCTTGAATCTGCCTTTGAATCCCTCTGGTGAATCTTTCATTTCAGTTATTGTACTTTTCAGCTCCAGAATTTTTTTTGGGGGGGGGTTTCTAGGTTTTGTAACTCTTTGATATTTCAATTTTGTTCATACATTGCTTTCTTGACTCTCCACATCTTCCTTTAGTTCTTTGAGCATCTTTAAGACAACTGTTTTAAAGTCTTTGTCTAGTATTACCCAGTACCACATCTTTTTCAGGGGCAGTTTTCTACTGATTTATGTTTTTCCTTCAAATGGACCACACTTTCATGTATCTTTGTATCCCCTGAGATTTTTTTGTTGAAAACTGGACATCTGAACACTAGAAATCAGATTCTCCCAATTTGAGAAAAATTTGTTTTTGTTTTTTTAATTGTTATAGGCTGTCTCTGTGCCAAGGGTAGCCTAAGATGTAAACTTAAGCTCTCAAGTCTTTTCTGAGTCTTTCCCTGGATGTGTACGGACACTCTCTAATTTCCCCATATATGAAGCTGTTTTGGAATATCTAGTCTTTAATATCTGGCTCCCAAACAGGAGGGAAAAAAAGAGAAATGAAGGGGGGAGGGGAAGAGTGGCAGCCCTTTGAATCCTCTGGAAGTTACTCTAGCCGGTAAGGGAGGTGCAGAGATGACTGCCTGCCTCCTCCTCTGCATTTCTGTGATCAGAAGCAGCAATCAGAGCACAGATGCCTGAGGCTGGAAAGGCAGCTCGTAAAGGGCACAGTCCAGAGGTAGAGCAGGTGATAAGGACAGAGTGATATGGGGCAAGAAGGTGAGGGCCCGAAGGGTGGCTGGGCATGGAGATGGATTCTGCCTCTTACCTTCATCAGGAGGGCCCTTTCCTTTTCAGCCACCCTTCTCCAGATCTTTGTGACCTGGTGGATCTCGGAGTTGAGGAAGCGGTTCTGGGTCCGGTATGCTTCCATGTCATCCTGGAGAAGAGAGCAAAGCATTTGACGAGTTGCACCATAAACATCTCCCTCATCCTCACCCTCAAATGAGCTGCCAACACTTCCTTCCTTTAGAAATCTCTAATAATGACAACAGAAGAGAAAGTCTAGAAGTAGTATTACCGACAGCCCCTTCACTAATCTTGATCCCAGCATGATACAGTAGAGAGGGCGTCAAGCCTGGAGTTCAAGTTGTGGTTCTGACTTCCTGGCTGGGAGGTTTCACTGAACAACTCTGACCCTCTGTTTTCTCATCTGTAAAAGGGACAAATACTACTCCACTGGGCAGCTGGGAGATGACCTGAGGTAACATGTGTCATAACACTAAGTATAGAGACCAAAACAAACAAACATCCAAGTAGTGTTTGTTTTAAAAATAAACATATGTTTTCACATATTTGCAATCATACTGAACAATTTTGGGTGAAAAATTTTTTACTTAATGTCACCTTGTAAATACAATGGCCCTTCAACAACACTGGGGTTAGGGGTGCTGAACCCCACCCCCGCTGCACAGTGGAAAATCTGTATATAACTTTTGACTATCCCCCCCAAATTTAAATGCTGATCACCTACTGTTGACCAAAGCCTTCCTGAGAACAAAGAGCCAATTAGCACACATTTCATATGCTATGTGTAGTATATACTGTATTCTTACAATGAAGCTAGAGAAAAGAAAATACTAAGAAAATCATAAAGAGAAAATACATTAACAGTACTATACCGTATTTATCAGAAAATATCTGCCTTAAGTGGATCCGTGCAGTTCAAACCCGTGTTGTTCAAGGGTCAACTGTACTCTATGTTACATAAGCTTCCCAGTGATCACTTTTAATGTCTGATGACTATTCTGTTGGGTGAATTTACTATACCTTAGTTATAATCCTTTCCCTGTTATTTTTTATTTGAGCCCTGAGTGTTTTCGGTTGGTTTTTGATTATGAATAATGCTGTGATGCGCCTCTCTGCACCTAGAGCTTTTCTTTTGCAAGCTGTCCAGTGGACGGAGTGAGATCCTGCTGCTGGGGCATTTGAGGAGAAGCTGGCCAAGCACTGAGGAGGCTCAAGCAGAAGCAGAAAGGAGCAACCACAGCATTGGCCCTCAACCTTCATTCCGCTGGGATGGACATTCCAGAAGCAATGGACAATGCACGTTCACAGCTATACCTAGCAATTCCAGGACATTCACTAGCTGAAACTCAACCCCTTTTGCTCCCACTCAAGAAATGTACTGGGCTGTAAGTGCATGAGAGAGACACTATTGCAGGCGTGACCTTGGATAGCCCTGATTTATCTGGAAATTAAGAGCATCACACCTGTGATGACTGTGGCACCTCATTATCAGGGATGGGTCACGTGTACAGAAGCTCACAGGCTGTCTTGACCCTCCCGGGGTGGGCCTGCATCCTGGCCAAGATCCTTCCCAGCCCAGAAGCTCCAATTCATACCCAGGGTCTGCTGCCTTCTGCCTAGATGGTTGACCCAGTGGGAGGGCCACAGGCTCCCAGGGTTCCTTAGCTAGAAACAAAAGCCCCCGGCTGGCTTCAACACATGGCCTCTCACCACCCCACTGGGGCTGTCCGAGGTGTCTCCTGCCCTGGCCACCCCTGCTTCTGATCCCTCACTGTGCGCGGACTGCCAGGCTTCGTGTCCTCAGGCTGAGCTCGTCTCTGCTCTCTCCACCGGCCTGGACCCAGGTAGTTCCAACTCCCCAGCCTGGACTTCCTCCTACTCTCCCACCATGTCTCCCTTAGGTCAAACTCTGGGCTCCCTTTTCTCAGAAATGCTGCCAAGGCGTACCAGCCACTCTTGTGCACAAGCATCTGCCTGCTTCCTCTCTGCAGCCCCCATTTTCTTACCTTTAGGTGGAGGCGTGGTGAGCCTGGTGTGAACCCTCATGTTTGCCACACGAGGACCCACCTCCTGTGGGCATCAGGATTTTCCAGGCCCCCTCCCCCTCCCGTGATAGTCTTCCGTTTGGGTGTCTGGAGACACAGATTTGTGAACACAGAAGCTGCGCGGGCCCCCTGCACCATCACCCTGTGCCCCTGCCCTGCGCTGAGCACATCATCCCATTCCATCTCCCCGGCAGCCGGGAAAGGAACTCAGATGCGGTCTCCGAGGCTCTGAAAGGACAAGTACGTTGTCTGAGGTCACACAGCTCTATGAGACCGGGGGTGACCGAGTCCAGATGTGTCTGATTCAAAAGCCATGTCCAACCACTGCACTTACAGCCGAGATCCTCCCCAAGCTCGGCGCCCCGCTGGCATCCACCTGGATGCCAAAGTCTAGTCCCACACTTCAGCGGTTGTGCTCGGCAGTCTGGCTGGCTGCACGCAGGCCTGTCTGACCCCTCTGACCCTCGAGTACAGTAACACCACAGCAGAGACGCTGGCGCTGCCTAGTGGTCAGGGAGCGGGCCCTGGAGCCCTGCTGCCTGGGTAGAAATCCTGCCTTCACCACTGAGCCCAGCACGAGTTCCTCGCCCTTTCCGGGCCTCCTCCCCTCACCTGGAAAGCAGGAACAATAACACCACGGCCTCAGGCACTCTTGGGAGGATGTGATTAGTTAATACGTGCAAAAGGCTGAGAATGGCGGCTGGCGTGGTGAGTACAAGTGTCGCGTCCTTCTCTGGGTTCTCCCCGCACCTGGAGAGCTACTGTCACCCGCTGCACTCCTCCTGCCCCCGCCCAGAGACTTCCCACCGCTGCTGTTGTGCGTTCTTTTTTTTTATGGATTTATTTTATTTATTTAAAAAGATTATATAAAAGAACCCCAAAGCTATTTATAACATTTACAGATCAATTGGGAAATTTTAACACTGACTGGATACTACCATACTATGAGTTAATTACTGTTAATTGTTTTTGATATGATGCTGTTGTGCATTCTTCCCAAACGCCTGAGAAAATACAACACGCTTCCAGGCAAGGGAGGAAGAGAGCGACCCGTTGCCTGCGGTCCTACTATGTGCCAGAGCCGTTTACCTCCCACACATTATTGTGTGTTAATTTATCTCCACCATGCTGTGCGCTACGTATTAAAGTACCATCGTTCCCACTTTACAGATGAGGAAACAAGTACAGAGAGGGGAAGTCCTCCTCAGTCACGTGCCTAGAACGCGAGAGAGGCAGGATGCAAGCCAGGTGCGTGCGGTCCACAGGGGAATGGAAAACTATTGCTGGGTGAAAGCGCATCAGCAGAGTCTGCCGCTCTACACGGCCGCTCCATTCTGCCTCCTGTTACCGTCCCTGCGTCCTCACCCCAGGCCCTGAGATGCTCCGTCATTTCCAAGGCTTTGGACATATGGCCGGGGGCACCGTGCCTGCAGCCCAGATGCGAGGGCATGTGTGAGCACCCCTGGGAGCAGCCGTGGGGGTGGGGTGGGGGGGCGTCTGGGCAGCACCTCTCCATTCAGCTCATCGCCCTACCTTGAGTGTTCTTCGTGGCTCAGGACTGTAGGGAGGAAAAAGAGAGAGAGCTCAGAGAAAGGAAAGCCACACGACAGTCACCGGCAAGCAAAGGAGGAAAACAGCTGGAGAAAGGGGACAGGAAGGAGAGAGTCTGCCTGTCTGTCTTCACAGGGATCAGGGGCCCGGGAATTCTCTTTGGGAAACGCCACACGGACTAGCCCTTGTGCTAGTAGGGAAGGCAGTGGACTGCGTGTGGGGAGACCTGGGGCCTAGCTGCAACCCTGCTGCTTGTGCTGTGGGACCCTGGACCCCTGTCCGGGCTCAGCTGTCCCTGCCAGAAAATGTCAAAGACTAGATCTCTGAGTCTTCCCCGCTCCGATATTCAGGAGGTCAATGATTCTGTTCTCAAACTGGCAGCTTCAGCAAGGGGGCATTTCCCTAAAGTCGCATGTCCTCCTTCCCAGGGCAAGGGGGAGATGTGAACATTGCTCTGTCCTCAAACGGAAAGACTATGGATTTTGGAGGAGTCTTCTATTTTTCTAGATCAGACATGTAAAGGCTAACACATGAGGAACTCGAGCACATGCAATTCTTTCTGGCACAAACACTGGGCCTCTGAGGATCAGCAGCAAGGTAAGTTTGGTTGATAGGAATTTCCTCTATTTGGGCTCACTGATAAATTCCCGAACATACAAAGCCAGGGGCACACTCTGTCTCCTACGGCGAGTCCCCAGGCTTCCAGTCGGCTCTTGGCAGCGCCCAACAGATCTATTTCTCTGATCCCCGAGCTGCTCTACGGGGTCTTCACCTGTGGATTCCAGCAGGACGGGCAGACAGAAGACTCTTACTTAGCAGGGCAGAGGAGGGTAGGGAAGCAATCTGATGAAAGCAATTTTCCAGCCCCAGCCTCGCTCCATCTGCATTTGAAAGGATTTTATTTTCATTTTGAACTCAAAAGAATCTGATTTTAAAGGGAAAAGATTCAAAAACTGGTTAGGTGGTTTTTCATGGGGAAGGAAACAGGAGGGATCTGGGTTTCATGTTATCTTCCTTCACCCCCCTGTCAACCTCATGAGTAGGGACAGTGAGGCCATTTTAAAGAGAGGTGAGGGGCCTTGCCCGAGGTGACACAGTTAGTAGGAGCTAGGAGGAGGCAGAGCCTGGGTCCAAACCTAGGCCTGACTTCACAGCTGGGGCAGCGGCCACTGTACCACACTGCCCACTGGTCTTTCAAAAGCTTCTGGAGTTTTCTTTTTCTCCTCCTGCTTCCCCTCTTCCAGCAGCAATGCTTTGGTCCCATGGCAAGGACGCTCCCCTGGTTATACATACATATGTATACATGTGCGGCTGCGCAAGGCGGGGTTCGGGGCAGGACCGGCCCTGGTTATACAGCTGCCTTTAAGGACAGTAGGGGTTATGAGCACCGATCCCCAGCCTCAGGCCTTCAGGTGGCCCAGCAGCTCCTGTCACCACGGCAGGCATCACACATAAATTAAGTTCCTGCTCCCCGAGCCGCAATGGGTCTCCCCAGGTGAGAGCCGCCGCCTGCGCCAGGGGGAGGCAGGGGCGGCGGCAGGAGGGAAGGCCCAAAGAAACTGGAAGGCAGCAGAGCAGACGCGAGTCAGAGAGCTCCAGCTCCCCAGCCCCTCCGCGCGCGGGCCCTTCTCAGCCTCAGCCTTCCTGCCCACAGTGGGGAGCACACAAGTGATGGCCTCACAGGGCTGGTGGAGCATCAGATGAGATGATGCGAGCGGGGCACCCACGACAGTGGCCACCGGGCAGCACACAGTCTCACAGAGGAGCCGCGAGTCCTGCTGGCCCCACATCACCTGGACTGCGTGCTGGGGGAGGCCACCAGGCACCTTGGGGACTCCCCAGGGCATCAGCATGGCACTTAGCTGGTCAGGCACTCAGGGGTTCTGACCTTGTCTTGTGCTCTTAAACCTCTAATAATCATCTAGAGATACCTTCCCTTTCCAGCCTAGGATATCATGAAAAGGTCAAATTGCACCGGACCTTCTGGTTAAGACAGTGAGGAAGTGCGTAGCAGTATTTCCACCAATATCAATTTCGGTATGAAGGTTTATCCCTGCTCTATCTAGGAAACCCTTAGGGTTGAGAGCAGTGCGCTCACGTCCCCAAGGGCCCAGGGCCTGCGGGGAGGGGCCCTTACCTTCAGGTGCTCCATCTTCTCCTGCTGGCTCAGGAAGTCCCTGTCGGCAGCCCCTGGGGGCCCAGGCGGCTGGGTAGGGGGATGCGTGAAGTCCTGGGTGACCTTCTCAGACAGCTTGCAGATGACCTGCTGTTTGGCCTGGTTCTTGTCCATGAGCAGCTGCACGTGCCGCCGCAGCTCCTGCACCTGCTGTTCCTGCAGGCCGGCCGTCTGCACCAGGCTCTCCCGCTCCTGCTCCAGGGCCTCCACCCGCCTGCCCAGCTCTGCGATCTGCCGCACCTTGTGCCGCACCAGCTCCAGCCGGTCCTTGTCCTCGGCTGCTGCCAGGTATGCGCTGGACGCCCTCTTCTCCTGCTGGGCAGCCTCTAGCGCCTTGTGCAGGATCCTCACCAGCTCCTGGGGGAGGAAAGGAAGCACCTTGTGAACTCGGGGAAGGCCCGTGAGGTGCCAGGGACTTGGCACTTGCTACATTCACCAGCTCTCCTAACAGCCCTGAGGGGTGGCTAGCGTCATCCTCCGGGCCGGCTCATTTTCTCCAGCTGAAGACCACATTTCCCAGCCAGGCTAGCAGCAAGGGGTAGCCCAATGACTATTCTGCCTAAACGGGATGTGAGAAATTATGTGGGTAGCTTCTGGGTCCTCCCTTTAAAACCACCACGCATGCTGCCCTTCCTTCTGGCTGGGAGATGGCAAGAGCTGGAGCAGCCCCTCGGCTCATGAGCAGAAGGTGTATGATGAGGACAGCAGTTGCGTTACTAGCTCAGAACTGCTCACTGAACCTCTGGGTTCTTCCACGAGAAGGCAGGAGAGAAATAACTTCCAGATTGTTTTAGACCAGAGTACTCGGAGGCTTCTTTGTTACAGCAGCTGAGCTTGAACCCTGACTGATATGTGTCCATTTCAGAGACGGGAAAACTGAAGCCCCACAGAGGAGAGTGGAATTCAATCCCAAATCATCACAAGGCTGTGCTGGGTCAGTCATGAAGGCGGCCTGTGGCACACCGGCGTGGCCCTTCTCTCCGGCTCCTGTGGCAGACCTGACTGACTCATATTCCTTCCTGCTAAGCCTAGTGGAGTCCTCAGAATCCCAAATATAGCATCAAGTAGTCGCTACCGATGGAGCTGGGAGAGCACCTGAGAGGAAACGCATGGGCAATCCTCAGGCTAAAGCACACACAGAGCCTCATGCTGTCCACTGTGCCCAGCCCCTTGGGCCACCAAGCAATGCCTGCAGGCCTGTGCAAGAAAGCGGAGAGAGCTCAGAAGCAACAGACTTCCATTTATTCCTTGGCAGGGGCACTGTATGCACATGGAAACTCTAGGTCTGCTTGGCTCTCCACGCCTTCAAGCCCCCAACCTCCTCAGGACCTGTCCTGTCCCAAAGCAGGGATGTGGGTTCACTTAAGGCCAGGATCAGAATATCAGAAGCCAGGCAGCCCAGCGGCCAGGCCCATGTGAGCCTCAGACCTGGTAGGCAGGGGCTCTGGGCCATTGCTCTGCTCCATGCCAGAGAATATGGTTCCCCAGAAACACATTACCTGTATCCACACCGAAGTATTCAACTAAATGAATCAGCTAGATAGGGTTATTGCTAAGAATGATTCCATTTTGGAAGAGAATTGCTCCAAATCATGACCTTATCTGAGAAATTAATGGCAGGATCGAATTAGCATGCAACTTCTGAAACCTGGGGACCACAGACTGGCCCTCTTCTGGGTTCTCTCCCTTCCCTCCAGCCATCCAAACGTTATTAAGCCCCACTCAGTGCCAGGCCCTGGGCTGGGTGTCAGTGGCCCGGAGGGAGATCAGAGTTCTCACCTTCAAAAACCACCAAGGCTGATGGGAACAAAAGTGAACTACTATAATGGAGTGATGTACTGCAAGAGGGAAGCAAGGGTATTGCTGGGGATACAGAGCCTCGAGCAATGACTTCTACCTGGGATGGAGGTGGGGGAAGACCACTATATTCTACAGAAAGGCAGAACAGTTGAAGCTGATCCGTGAAGAATGAGGAGGACCAGAGACAGTCAAGCAGTAGGTAGGAGATGAAGGTTGGAAGGGCTTTCCAAGTGAGCTGAGTCAACAGCTCCAGCAAAGGCCCAGAGGAATGAAAGAACCTGTGTGGGGCTGTGGGCATTCTTGGGTGTGGCTGGAAGGTGGGGTGAGGAGGTGGTTGCGAACCAAACTGGAATGTTTGGAATGAACTAGCTTCTCAGGCTGAGAGAGATCTTCATTCCTGTGGCTCCAGGATAACTGAGAAGCTGAGACCATTTTCTGGCTTGGCGGAGATTTGGAGAGGACCCTGGTAAGTGCCTGGGCGAATTAACCAGCAGACACCACTGTTCAGGCTCTCCTGAGGCCCAGCATCAGGCAGGTATCTTTCCCCCAACTTCGGCAGAGTCAACTCTGAAGCCCATTCCATTACATCCAGCTGCCTCCTCCCCCTTCCTACTTCCAGCCCGGGAGGCTCTCCTCCCACCCCAGAATCCCAGCTGCAGAATGAGACAGGGAGAAAGGAAGCAGGGAAGGGATGGAGTCAGGGCAGGAAGCATGAGATGAGGAGTGCGAATGGACCTCGGATTCAGAAAACCCAGTGGCTGGCAGGCCCGGGGAGACCACCTGGTCAAGCAGGTCACTTGCTGTCACAGGAGGACACTGAAGCCCAAGAAAGGAGAAGGAAGAGGACTAAAAGGAGCTGGTGGATCCCCACAGGTGGGAAAACCTGCCACAACAGAGGACTCCCAATCCTAATCTGGGGCCCTCCACTTCTCCATGATGTGTAGTTAACAGATTTTGCACTGAAACACTTCTTTCCATTTCTTTAAAAATAGAAACAACCCAAGTTCATAGCAGCATCATTCACAACACCCAAGAGATGGGACCAACCCACATGTCCCCTGACGGTGAATGGATAAGCAGAATGTGGCATATACACACGATGGAATATTATTCAGCCTGAAAAAGGAAGGAAATCCTGTTACATGCTACAACATGGGTGAGCCTGAGGACATCAGGTCACAACAAATGCACATACACACCATCTAGAAATATTAAAAACCAAAAGGGAAGCTGCTCGGGGCCTTACTAGACATGATGGCATGTCCCTGAGCACCGCCACCACCAGCAAGAGTGAGGGGACTCCTCCTCGTCTGGTCACACCTCAGCGTCCTCGTCCCACCCTCAAGGAGGGACGCCCGGGGTATTGCCAATTCCCACAACTATAAGCAATGCTTTAGGACTCATTCTTAGAAACAGAAAGCTGATCTAGTGGTACTTCTAATATTTCTTAATCAAATCATTGTTTGGCCCATTTCAGACTTTAACTGGCCACACGTTATCATTTTATTAAAAAATATTTTTTATTGAAGTATAGTTGATTATTTAAAATTCTAAAAGCCAACGAACCATCTTTTAAAAATTAGTCCTTTCCCTTATTAAAGAGCTGATACTTGCATCACTCACTCAGATCAAGGTGGGTGGGCCCAATGTTGCTGGGGAAAGAGCACCAGACTCTCAGTCCAGCAGCCCGGCCCCTGGCCTCTCGGAGGCTGGGCGCCAGCAGGTGCAGGTGAAGGAGCACTGGTTCTGGAGACCTGGAGGCCTTGCTTGCCATTCCAGGCCCATGAGGGTGTTTCTAACGACAGTGTTTTAGAAAAGTGAACTCTGGCTTTGTCATAGATGAAATGGAGAACATGCTCCCTACTCTTGGCACAGGCACTTCAAGGATGAGCGAGGAAGTCTGGCAAGTGCCCCTCCCCAAGCGGAAACAGCCAGGGCCCCTCTCAACCCTCCCTCTGTGCACTCTGAAGTCTTTGTACTCCGTACTCTGGATAAGGGGAGCGTATGTTGAGGTCTCTGGCTGGGGTTCTAGGGAAGTAAGAGGCTGCACTTTGCCCCCAACGAGTTTCCCTAACAAATTACCCTGAGCGAGCTAAGTTGGCCCCAGATAGGGCCTGGGAGGAGTTCATCATTCCCAGCAGTCAACAGATGGCCAACATCACTACAAACACGGGCTTCCATCTGCCAGAGCAGACAGCCTTCAGGCTGGGTGCAATTTTGTCAACTCTGAGAGCCTGAGTCACCCAGCCAAGCAGCCATCTGGTGCTATCCCCAGGGGTCCAAATCTCCTGGGGGACAGGCATGCTGCAAGGGCCTGGGACAGATAATGGCTCAATGGGGACTGGAGTGGTCCTGTGGTTTAATATGACACCAGACAGGAGTGCATTTGTATTTTCTGAAAAGCAGTTATGTGCCCATGTCTGATGCTGGGCCGTACTGGGAGACCACAGAGGTGGCGGTGAGGCTGGGATGAGTCCTGGACCTGGGCCTCTCCTGGTTCTTCCAGCTGTGTGACCTCAGGGCAGGCCCCCACCATCTCTGAGCTCCTTGAGCATGGCAGTGAAAAGGGCAGAAGCTCTAGAAGCAGACAGACCAGAGTCTGAAACTGGTCTTGGCTCCTGGGAGACCCTGGGCATGCTCTCAGAGCCTCAGTTTGCTCCTCAAGAAAAGAGGGCTAGTAACTGTTGTAAGGATTAGTGATAATGCATGGAAAGCCCGAGCACACAGCTAGGGCCACCCCTAACACCAGTTATGTATGCTCTTATCTGTTCTTCCCCACCTGACAGCAGGGACCCAGTGTACCTCTGTGCCCTCCACAGCATCTGACAGAGTTTGAGATACAAATTCTTCAAGGATCATTAACACTATTGGCAATGACCACCCAGGTGGCTGAGCCAGGACAAGACCTCCCAGTTCCCATGTCCTCCTGCAGCCTCAGGCAGAAAGAGAGTGCCTTCCACTGAAGAGATGCAGGAAGGCATCTTATAGGTGTGGGCCCAGGGAAGTCCGGGAAACTGTCTGCCCAGCTGAGGAACTGGACTCGGAGGGTCTCAGATGGACAGTTAGTGTCCTCCAATCAGCATTTCTGCACATCTGGGACACCACTGGGCACCCCAAGGTTTTGCAGGCCTCCTCTGTCCTACCTCTGGGCCAAGAGTCAATCTTCTCTCCCTCCCCTCTTTGGTTTTGGTATCTGGGCTGGAGGTAAAACGCCAGAGTTGGTAGGGCTGGGGCTCCCCCTGCCTAATGTGGGATGAAGACTTGACCTCTGCCCATCGCTGCTATGCCACTCATTTCTTGGAGACCCTCATGGGCACCCATCTGTCTTCCTAGAGCCCTTCAGAGGATCATGCCATTCCTTGTAAAGCCAGAAGGAATCAACGAGAAGGGCAGGGAATGCCATAATAGCAGCCAAAGCCTGCATCTGGCGGGCGGCTGCTGCATGCCAGGCACTGGGCTTTATGCATCCGGACAGAGGCCTCTGCAGTAAGCACTGCTATAACTCCAGGGACAGGAGGAAGCTGAGGCTTTAGGGGTTAAGAAACTTGCTCAGGGCCAGAACTGCGGACGGCACCTTCCACTTTAAGGCCTGTGCTCCGAGATGCCCACCAGACAAAAGCACACTTGTGAGATGGGCTGGACAGCACGCACAGCACTCATCTGGTGAGGCAAAAGTGGGACCGCAGGCCTTCCTCTCCTCCTGACCATCGGTACCAGGCCAGGCCAAGCTTTGCTGGGAAGTGAACCAGTAAGAAAGTCCAGGTTCTGTAATGCTTGGACAACTTCCTCCTGCCATTTTCACTCTGATCGCAGGGAAGCTGTCAGCAGCCTGGGGAGCCCTGACTGATCTCCACGAGCTTGCCTTCATTTATTGAGGATGCCACATCCTCCAGGGCGGCACAGCCACTGGGGGCAAACCTCAAGGAAATCTCGGTCTCCCGGGCCTCTCTCCTTCATTGGACAATTCCCGACACCTTGGAAGCAAAGGCCAAGCCCAGGGAGGCTGCCCAGGTTTCCTAGAAAGAAGGGGAAGGTGGGGTCAAAGGAGAGGCGGTGTTCACATCCAGCTTGCTTTTCCTGGCCAGATGGGGTCTGGGCCTTACTCTGTACTGGTCCAGGGATCGGGGAGGTACTCCAGTCCAGCCAGATGCCCTCTGGGCTCTCAGGAGCACCAGCAGCTCCACCGCAGGATGGGAAGATGACCAAAGAAAAAGAAGCTGGGCTGCTAAGTGGCAGCAGAGGGGACTTCACACGCTGTAATGCTGTACATGGGTGTCGGGGTGTTTACCGCCTGTCTCTGCTGTGACATGCAAGCCTCTGCAGGGGCAGGGCCCGTGTCTCTTCCCACTGTTCCCAGCGCCTAGAATACTGCATGCACACCACAGGCCCTCGACAAAAACCTGGTGAATACACAACTGAAGTGCGAACCTATGAACGAATGAGCTTCCTCCTTGGAGGACTCTAATCACGAGCTGCTTCATCAAATGTATGCCCTGACCTGCCAGGACAGAAGTCTCCCTTAATATCTGCTTAAGGGCAAGAAAGGCAGAGAAGGGGCAAAACTCGGTAAGGAGAGCATTTTTCTGGACTGTCTTCAAAAACAGAGCAGCAGAAAGGAGGACAAGAAATGTAGAGGAGGGAGATTATTCAGAAGTACATAGAGCTGGGAAATAAAGCAGGAAAAGACTGAGGGCAGCCAAACCTCAAACATGAAGATTTGGGCCTTCCCCTCGGAGGAAAAGAAGCCTGGATTCTCAGTAGGGCCCACCCCTGGGGGCCCCACCAGGTACCACCCTGGGGATTTTCAGTAACAACTGTGCTAGTTTAACTACTTTTATTGTGCCCAGGGATGCAGTCCCCCTCACCTCCCTGCCATGTGATTCTCACTACTTCACAAAGTTGCCCCAAAAAAGCGAACATGATTTATTCCCTGGCTTGTAGGATTTGGGGATGATTTTAATGCCTGTATATGTATGTGATCTGTGTTCTACAATGACCATGTCACTCTTTTTTTTAACCACTATAATTAACTTCTCTATTAAGGCTAAATCTTCCTCGTCACTATCCCCTGTTGGGCCTGGCTGAGCCCCAGAGCTACAACAGACCTGCCTGCTTTCTCTGTCCTGTGATCGTCCTTCAGCGATCTGCACCGTTACCAGCTGCCAGTTCCTTCGGGGGCCCTTCCCAGGACCCTGCATCCAGATCCCCCTCCTCCAAATGCTGCCTCTCTTCAGTGTGGGGGGAGGCCAGGCACAGTCTTCTAGGAGGAGTCCAAGAGCAATACAAAGTAGGTCCCAGAGATCCTGCCCTGGAAGGCCTTCCGTCACCCAGGCTGAGCGTCCACATGGCCCTTAGTAACCAACAGCACAGCATTTCCCACCACCACCAGTTTGTCTGCTAAGGACCGAGACTGGCACATGCCTGGCCGGGCTAACGTAGCATGTCTAGCTTGTTCAGAGGCTCTAGGCCCAGAGGGGTGCACTGGAGCTTGGGGCCTCTGTGGGGCCAGAGCTCACCTTCTGAGACTTTAACTCCTTGGTGAGCATCAGAACCTGCTGCTCCAAGGCCAGAACCTTTTCCTGGGCAGTTCGGGTCCGTGGGAGTCCTTCAGCAAAGAACGGAAAGGTGTTGTTCTGGCGCTTGGCTTTCTGAATGAGATGGGCAGTCAGAGAGGACTTGGGTGTAGACTTTGGAGAATCCGCTGGATCTTTCCCTGCTCAAAAGGAGGAACACAGAGGTTATGATCAGTGGCCTCAGTGGTACTCAAAATTGAGCTTGCTGCAGAAGCACCTGAAGGGCCCAGTAAAATGCAGATTGTGGTACCCTACTCCCAGAGCTTCTCATGAATAGGTCTGGGATGGGGCTTGAGAATTTGCATTTCTAAAACTTTCCTAGGTGATGCTGCTGCAGCTGGTCCCGGATCATACTTTGAGAACCCTTGAGCTATATAAACGTTATTTACACTGTACTAGCTGGGTCCCTCAGCCCATCCTCTGACGTGTGCCTGTCCCCCACTCTCGGATCCCCATCTGTATGGGCTATCTCACGTCACACCGCTGCTGTGTGCCAGGGGCCATCTCAGGCACAAGCCCTGGCAGGATGTCTTGTTTCTTATTTAAGGATCCCATCTCTACCCTCTGGGCAATTTTCAAAGTACAGAGATCTGTCCATAGACAGGAGTATGGAATATCTGTATTCTGCATTCTTGCCCCAGAGAGTAAGTCAGACTCTCATTGGATTCTTATTACAAGCTAAGTTAGGGCACACATTTCCCACAGTTGACTGCCTCAGGCTGCACAGTCCTTCTATTTCCTCTAGAGCCAGGGTCAGCAACCACGGGTCCACAGGCCAAATCCAGCCCATAGCCTGCTTGTGTAAATAGTTTTATTGGAACACGGCCACATTTGTTTGTACGTTATCTGTGCTGCTTTCACTCCACAAGGGCAGAGTTGAGGACTGGCAGCAGAGACCGTATGTCCCACAACGCCTCCAACATTTACTATCTGGCTCTATAGAAAACATTTGCCAACCATTACTGAATTTCTTATTTTGTTTTATTTTTATTTTTTCTTAAATCAAATTCAACATCACAGTCACTCACCCACCCCCGATGCCTTGTCTTGCCCTGCCCCAAGCCTATACTTTAGGGATCTGCCATCAGCCTGCATCCAGGGACATTTTAATGGCCTGATTATATAGTCAAAAGACCTTGAGAATCTTGTCTACATGGTACATACACATCATGCCCATCATAAGGTACGAGCAGAAGAAATTTTTCTCAATGCTCTGTGCCAGAAAAGGCTTTGCTTTTTCTAAGAAAACATGTGTTTATTCTTACAGATACTGGAAATAATCTAACACTTGCATTTCCCTCTTTGCCTTGGCTACTGAGAAGCTCAGAGCTGTATCTGCTGCCCACTCTTAGCTATTCTATAGGATCTTATCTTGGTCTTATCTAAATTTCCTAGCCCAAATTACTCATTTACTTTCCCCTGATATGTATTTTATTTTATTTTTTTAAAGATTTTATTTATTTATTTGACAGAGAGAGACACAGCGAGAGAGGGAACACAAGCAGGGGGAGTGGGAGAGGGAGAAGCAGGCTTCCCACCGAGCAGGGAGCCCGATATGGGACTCGATCCCAGGACCCTGGGATCATGACCTGAGCCGAAGGCAGACGCTTAACGACTGAGCCACCCAGGCGCCCCCCTGATATGTATTTTAATAAGCTATCCCCAATCCTTTTGGGACTAGGGTGTTAAAAAAATAAGGACGTGGTATGGAATCCCAGGTGAGGGGACAGGCAGGACTTAGAGGATGAGTAGAATAATTTAGCATGCTTCTTCTGGGGCCAGCCAAACCATCTAGAACAGATAAGAAACTACTCTAGTAGGAATCAGAACCTCCCTGGCCTTGAGAATACAAGAACAGAATGGTTTTGTCCTAGACTTAAAAGAAATTCAGTTGCACTGGGTATAAACCCAACTGCAGAGCTCAAAGGACAGCAATGCTTCTTTCTCTTTCTTGCCGTGGGGTATAGAAGAGCAGGGGGCGCTCCATGTAGCCCTGCTGCCCTCTGATAACACTACTCTCCACTAAACCTGACGGCAGGCAAGGTAGAGATCACTGCACCCATTTCACAGTTGGTGAAGACGAGGCCTAGGAGAGTGGTTTTCCGTCAGTGCTGTAGGATTTAATGGGGGTGCCACAGGGCTGACTGGGACGGGAAGACGGTAGGAGGAGCCAAGGGGAGGCCAGACTCCCATCCCCTGCCTCAAGTCTGCTTTGATATGCACTGTATATTAGATTTTTTTTTATGGGGGTCAAAGTGTCATGGCAATAAAAAGGTTGTGTGAAAAATCACTGCTTTAGAAAATGAGGCTTTTCTAAAGCCTTGGCCTGAACCCTAGTTCCTAGTTCCACACCCCCTGGCAGCAATGAGCCAGTCACTCCACTTTTCTATCCTCGGTTCCCTGATTTAGTAAATGAGACCAATGGAAGCTACTGCTCAGGTTTTTGGAAGGGTCAAAGAGGTTAAATCAGGTGAAGTGCTTGGAACACATAAAAGAAACTTGAAAAGATTCTGTTCGGTGACAGGAGCAGTCCTAAAGGACCAGATATTGCAGATTCCATCTATATGAACTATCCAGAACAGGCAAATCCACGGAGACAGAAAGTCGAACAGTGGTTGCCTAGAGCTGGAGGGATGCGAGGTTTCTTTCTGGGATAATAAGCATGTTCTAAAATTGGTTATGGTGAATTGTATACTTCAAATGGGTGAATTGTTCGGTATGTGAATTATATCTTAATAAAACTGTTACCAAAAGGAAAAAAAGTGCTTAGAGTAGCCGTGACACAAAGTAACTGCTATATAAGAGTGCTGGTTCCATGACTACTGATTCGATGGGGTACTGAGCCCTTCGCGCATTGTTCACTGTGATCCGCGGGGACTCGCCGGGCACTGTTCCAAAGGGGTGCTCTTTCTGGAGCCACTTCTATACAGTCGAGGGGTCCTCCCGGCTAGAAGACCCCACGGTGCTGCCTCAGCCAGTTTTCTTCCAACTGTTTCCAGATTACAAAATGTCCTAAGGGCACCCATACCAATTTCCAAAAAAAAAAAAGTCCATCCCCCCACCAATGTTGTGGGCCACTCACATTTAGTGAAACAGTAAAGTTCTATGGAATAGCTGGATGGACACCTAAAGGTCACTTGCTCTGCTTCTTCAGGCAGATCTGATTTTAATCACCCCAGGGCGGCATTTTTATATCTTTTCCTTATAAATTAAAAAAAAGTAAGAAAGAAAAAGTGAGATATATTTTCTTTTATTACTTCAGGAGTCATTGCTAAGAGCATCAGTTTGGGAAGACGAGAAAGAATTACTGGTGAGGATGGTGGTGATGGTTGAACACCACTGTGAACGTGCTTCATGCCACTGAATTGTGCATTTACAGTTGGTTAAAATGGTAAATTTCAAATGTATTTTACCACAATAATATTAGTAAAAAAAGGAGCCATTGCTACTAGACCCATAGAAACCAGGAGGAGTGACCTGGAGAGTTTCAGGTTAGAAACAAAAAGCATAAATGCTGATCTCTGGGGAGGATAAAGAGGGCATTCACTTGGTCTCTGAAGACAGCCCAAACCCAAGCAGAGCTCACCTGGGGCACCAGGGTCAGAGGGTACGGGCTGCTCCGTCCTCCAAGGTTCCGCGCTCAGTGGAGGATCTTCCCCTGGAGGTTGGTGGCCTGTTCCTTGGGCCTGCCTGTTGCCCCGAATATTGTACATTGTGTTTCTGAAAGGAAAACAGGAGCATGAGGTTGCCCTCCTGCCCCTCGGCTCTCCCTGCTGCCACTGCTGGGGCTCAGGCCACTTCCTCACCCCCAGCCATGCCCCGAGCAGTCTGCCGGACTCCAGGCTCCCTGCAAGATGCATCCCACCCGAGCCACTCCCCACCCCCTCACCCTCTCCTTTTCATTTTCTCCTCGTACTTACCACCTTCCACACATGCTATTGCTAATAAACAATACAAGCTTGATTCCCCTGCCCCCAGCCCCACTGCTGGAGTGTAAGTTCTTTTTTTTTTTTTTTAAATATTTTATTTATTTATTTGACAGAGAGAGAGAGCACAAGCAGGGGGAGTGGTAGGCAGAGGGGCAGGGAGAAGCAGGCTCCCCGCTGAGCAGGGAGCCTGACATAGGTCTCGATCCCAGGACCCTGGGATCATGACCTGAGCTGAAGGCAGATGCTTAACGAACTGAGCCACCCAGGCACCCCTTGGAGTGTAAGTTCTCTTGAGTGCAGGGATATTTGCCTGTTTTGTTCACCAAAATACTCTGAATGTGTAGCACGGCACCTGCAACATAGAGGGCACTTACAGTATATGTGCTGAACGAAGGCTGAGTGGACTTGCCAAACTAACTTTCCTGAAACCTTCACCTGGTTTTGTATCTACTTGGCTCAAAAATCATTGGTGCCTCCCTACTTCTGCTGAGGAAAGCTCCAAACCCTGGATCCTTCTCCCCTTGCTTCCATTGCCCATTCAGATCTGTTTTCCTTGAGGCCTTCACTAATCAGCTCATGGCCTCCAAGGAGCTTACTGAACTTTGTCAATGGGCTACCCTTTGACCAAGTACTTGTCTAGGCTGAATAATGGTATCGTTTCTTCAAGAGCTGGGCACTAACCTGCCTGCATGCCTCTTGGCCCCTGGCACTGGGCCACACATGCCCAGAGTGCAGGCTCATTATATGTTGGGTTTGTAGGAAGGAACTAGGTAGCACCAAAGGCTGGCTTAGGACCACAGACCACAGAGAAATTCATAATGAGTTGGATGAAAGGACAAGGAAAAGTTTATTTTCCCTTTGCAAAGAGATAAAAGTAGACATATTCCAGAATTAATAATGAGGAAGAGAAGATGATTAAAGGAGTTCACTAAGTCAGTGTTTTTCAAACTGCAGGTTGTGAACCATTGGTAGGTTGTAAAATCAGTTTAGTATCATGACCAGAACTTATTTCATTATTTAAAATATTTATTTATTTATTTATTTATTTATTTATTTATTTATTTATTTATTTATTTTAGAGAGAGTGAGAGTGCGCACACATACAAGCAGGAGGGGCAGAGGGAGAGGGAGAGAGAATCTCAAGCAGACCCCATGCTGAGTGCGGAGCTCACGACCTGAGCTGAAACCAAGAGTCAGACGCTTAACCTACTGCGCCACCCAGGTGCCCTGTGACCTGCATTTAAAATATGGAATGGATGCACCAAAACCCATAAGATACCTAGGAATAATAATAAATAATAATAACCGAAGAGGCAAAGGGTCTGTACTCTAAAAACTACAGAACACTTATGAAAGAAATTGAGGAAGACACAAAGAGATAGAAAAACATTCCATGCTCATGGATTGGAAGAATAAATATTGTTACAATGTCTATGCTACCCAGAGCAATTTACACATTCAATCAATCCATATCAAAATACCATTGACATTTTTCACAGAGGTAGAACAAGTAATCCTAAAATTTGTATGGAACCAGAAAAAATCCTGAATAGCCAGAGGAATGTTGAAAAAGAAAACCAAAGCTGGTGGCATCACAATGCCGGACTTCAAGCTCTATTACAAAGCTGTCATCATCAAGACAGTATGGTACTGGCACAAAAACAGACACATAGATCAATGGAACAGAATAGAGAACCAAGAAATGGACCCTTTATGGTCAACTAATCTTCGACAAAGCAGGAAAGAATATCCAATGGAAAAAGGACAGTCTCTTCAATAAATGGTGCTGGGAAAATTGGACAGCCAAATGTAGAAGAATGAAACCGGAACCATTTTCTTACACCATACACAGAGATAAGCTCAAAATGGATGAAAGACCTAAATGTGAGACAGGAATCCATCAAAATCCTTGAGGGGAACACAGGCAGCAACCTCTTCAACCTTGGCCACAGCAACTTCTTGCTTGACACGTCTCCAAAGTCAAGGGAAACAAAAGCAAAAACAAACTATTGGGATTCATCAAGATAAGAAGTTTCTGCACAGCAAAGGAAACAGTAACAAAACTAAAAGGCAATGTATGGAATGGGAGAAGATATTTGCTAATAATATATCAGATAAAGGAATAATATCCAAGATCTATAAAGAGCTTGTCAAACTCAACACCCAAAAAACAAATAATCCAGTCCAGAAATGGGCAGAAGACATGAACAGACATTTCTCCAAAGAAGACATGCAAATGGCCAACAGACACATGAAAAAATGTCAGACATCACTTGGCATCAGGGAAATACAAATCAAAACCACAATGAGATACCACCTCACACCAGTCAGAATGCCTAAAATTAACAAGACAGGAAACAATAAATGTTGGCCAGGATGTGGAGAAAGGGGAACCCTCTTACACTGTTGGTGGGGATGCAAGCTGGTACAGCCACTCTGGAAAACAGTATGGAGGTTCCTCAAGAAGTTAAAAATAGAACTACCCTACAACCCAGCAATTGCACTACTAGGTATTTACCCCAAAGATACAAATATATTGATCTGAAGAGGCACCTGCACCCCGATGTTCATAGTGGCAATGTCCACAATAGCTAAACTGTGGAAAGAGCCAAGATGTCCATCGACAGATGAATGGACAAAGAAGATGTGGTATATATATACAATGGAATAATACTCAGCCATCAGAAAGGATGAATAGTTACCATTTACATCGACATGGATAGAACTGTAGGGTATTATGCTAATGAAATAAGTCAATCTGAGAAAGGCAATTATCATATGGTTTCACACATACGTGGAATTTAAGAAATAGCACAAAAGATCTTAGGGGAAGAGAGGGAAAACTGAATGGGAAGTCATCAGAGAGGGAAAAAAAACATGAGAGACTCTTAACTATAGGAAACAAACTGAGGGTTGCTGGAGGGGAGGTGGGTGGGGGGATGGGGTAATTGGGTGATGGGATTTAAGGAGGGCATGTGATGTGATGAACACTGGGTATTAAAAGCAACTGATGAATTACTGAACACTACATCGGAAACTAATGATGTACTATATGTTGGCTAATTGAATTTAAATAAATAAAATAAAATATAGAATGGAAAATATCAGAATGTACCCCACTTAGAAAGGATTAATACTTTCTAAATTATATATATGTGCACTGAGCTATAAAATAAAATGTATTTCTTACTGTGATGGTGGTCAACAGTTTGAAAAACAATGCAAAGGTCATTTACTTAAGAGGCAGCAATAGTGTGGTTAAAAGAGAAGGGGAGGGGTGCCTGGGTGGCTCAGTCAGTTAAGTGTCTGCCTTCAGCTCAGGTCATGATCCCAGGATCCTGGGATTGAGCCCCGCATTAGACTCCCTGCAGAGCAGGGAGTCTGCTTCTCCCTCTCTGTTCCTCCCCCCAGCTTGTGTTCTCTCTCTCAAATAAATAAAATCTTTAAAAAAAAATGAAAAAAGAGAAGGGGACGTGAAGGTCTACAGATCCGTGATGGAGTCCTAGCTTTGCTGTATCATCCCTATGTGCAATGTATACTTCTAGCAGTATAGTGGGAAATTACCCTGAAAAACCCTTATTCATAAACACCTAGATGCTAGATGAATACCAAACATGTTTCAAAAGTATTGAGCTGAATTCAGGAAAGGAAGGGAAATTCCTGGGGACTAAACATGAAAAGGTGAACTTCAAGTGGGAAGGTGAATGTGTAGACTGGACTACTCCTTAGCAAATATTTACTACTTTCCCACCACCTCCTCAGGAGCAGAGTACCTCCTCTCTTGGCGTGGGCATGGCCATGGGATTTGCTTTGTCCAGAGCGATGTTAGCAGATGTGATGTAAACATAGGCTTAAAATGTCCTTGCATACAGAGCTTGCCTCTTTTTTTTTTTTTTTTTTTAGATTTTATTTATTTGACAGAGAGAGAGAGCTTGTGAGCACAAGCAGGGGGAGTGGCAGGCAGGGGGAGGGGGAGAAGCAGACTTCCTGCTGAGTAGGGAGTCTGATGTGGGGCTCGATCCCAGGACCCTGGGATCATGACCTGAGCTGAAAACAGATGCTTAACCAACTGAGAAGGTGCCCCCAGAGCTTGCCCTCTTGAAGAACTTGCCCCAGGCAGCTGCTGGTCCATGGAAGATGAGGAATACGAGGAGCAGACCTAGATCTTACCAGTAATGTGAAGTGAACCTAGTCTATATCAGCTGAATCCAGATGTGTGAGAAATAAATGCTTATTATATGACACTGAATTTTGAAATGTGTGTCTGCAGCATTATCACTATGAAAGTTGACTTAGGACATGAGTTTGTTCTGGGGTCAACTGTCTGTTTTTTTTAAATTGAGATATAACTAACACATAACATATTCATTTCAGGTGTACAACATATTTATTCAACATAGTGTGAAAGGATCACCACACTACGTCTAGTTAACATCCATCACCACACACAGCTACAAGATTGATTGATTGATTTTGTGATCATAGATCAACAGTTGATACCAGAGACCTAGAATGCAAGAGAGGAAAGAAAGCAATTTTGGACCCATACAAACTGCAGAGTTGAAATTGAAATTCTCGCATACAGCTGGGAGTCCTGTGAAGAGGTGAGTTAGGAAAAAAAACAGGCCTGCTGCCAAAACCACACAAGGACATTCTAGGTGAAGGCTCCAGGTTCTTGTGATATTTTTGTTTGGTTTTGGTGTCAAGATAACATTGGCCTTCTAGAATGAATGGGGAAGTATTTCCTCGTCTTCTTTTTTAGGGGGAAGATTTTGTGAAGAATTGGTATTA